GCAGCTTCTGCTGCTGTTGCTGCTGCTGCTGCTGCTGCTGCTGCTGCAGCTGCTGCAGCGAGCTGCTTGTCTCTGCTGTCTCCTCTGGAATCACCACAGGCGTCACCAAAGGCAAATCAAACGGAAGCACTGAACACACAGCAGCAGCAGCAGCAGCAGCAGCAGCAGCAGCAGCAGCAGCGGCAGCAGAAGTTATATTATTTTTTTATTTGTTGTATGAACATATTGTTTATATATTGTATTTTATATATTATATAATTATATATAATATAATATATAATAAACAATATAAATAATCTATTCATTTGTGCGTATCTCTACCTTTCTGTCTCTATGCTGTATATTCGTTGTGTTTATTAATTATAAATAAATAAATAAATAAATAAATAAATAAATAAATAAATATATAAATAAATATATAAATAAATAAATAAATAAATAAATAAATAAATATATATAGTTTGTGATTGCTGATCGCAGGAAAGAAAGATGTGTTGCGAGCAGCAGAGTAGCATGGAGGTGTTGTGTGTGTTGCTGGGGTGTATGTACACCTCAGCCTCCTCTCACTTGTTTGTGTATAGGTCTGCATGCATGCATCTTCGTTGCACCTCTGCCGCAGCTGCTGCAGCTCCTTGTCTTGTTCTTTTATTCTATCGCGCAGCTGCTGCAGCTCCTGCTGCAGCAGCAGCAGCAACTGCTGCTGCTGATGCTGCTGCTCCTGCTGCCGTCGTACAGCTGCTCTATGTGCTCCTGACTCTGCACCCTGCTGCTGCTCCTGCCCCTGCTGCTGCTGCTGCTGCTGCTGCTGCTGCTGCATGTCTGTTTTTGCTGCTTCTTCCGCGCGCAGTCTGCGGTTCTCAGCCTTCAGTATCGCCGCCTCCTGCAGCAGCTCTTTCACAATAGCCTCGGCTCTGTCCAGTCGATTCATCTTGCTGCTGCTGCTGCTGCTGCTGCTGCTGCTCTCCACCCTGCAGCAATCAGAATTCCTCTCTGCTGCTGCTGCCTGTGCTGCTGCTGCTGCGTCTCCTGCTGCTGCTGCAGCTGTGTCGCTGCAACGCGCATGCCCCCGTGGGTGCACCCGCAGCAGAATATCCCTGTGAGGCTTGTTTGCTGCTGCTGCTGCTGCTGCTGCTGCTGCGTCCGCCGCCTGCATCCGTTGCTGCTGCTTGCTGTTGCATGCAGAGGGGGCCTCGCGGAAGTGCGAGAGGCCCCCCGCCCCATTTCTGAATGTCGGTGGAGAGTCAGGAGGCGTAGAAGGAGTGGATGAAGCTGCATGCATGCGTATCTGCTGCGTTGCAGCAGCAGCAGCAGCAGCAGCAGGGGGGTGCGTAGCGTACACCGAGTCAAGAGAAGCGCACGAAGAGCCCCGAAAGGTATCCAGGGCTTGTGGAGGAACAGAGAGATGATGGCGAGGAGAGGCTGAGGCAGAGTGGCCGTCGGTGGGTATGCGGGTGTGAAGCACAGGGGCTCTCTCGTACGGCCGCCACCAGGAGTGGGAGTATCCATCCATTGCAAAAGTCTGGCTCGCATTAGACTAAAGAAAAGTCTAAAAACTTGAAAACAAACAAAAAACACAAACTCGTCCAATCCATCCTGCAAAAAATAGAGGATTCCACCCGCAGATACTCAAGAAGGCCGACTGCTCTGCCGCCGCGGGACCTGCATACCCCGGCCGAGCCAGTGTACAGATGAGTAACTTCTCTCTTTTTCTGATGAATAACCGTTGAAAACTCAATTTTCATTCAAAAAAGTATCAAAAATACTGCACTTTTGACCCCCGATCCACCCGAGGAGGTTTACGCCGAGCTGCACGTACACCCCAATCGTTCGTATTCATCGGCAAGCCCATGCATATCTGTTCCTTCTGCGGCCAGCGACAGAAGAAAGCTGCGGATATGAAAGGCAAAATAAGATAAATAATACCGATGAATTTGTATTTGTGAATACTGCACAAGTTCCACTGCATGTACACCGCAACAGAGCAGCAGCCTCTCCGCTTCCTTCTCGTCGTCAGCTGGACCTCCGGGGCTGCTGGGCTTGCCTGCTGTCGGTGTTTTGGCTTTGTTTGAGCTCGTTTTGAAGCAAATTTACATTTTCCTTTTATTTAAAACATTTTTACCTTCGAAATGTGCAGAGTTTCTCCCAATTTCCCGCAAGAATCTCCCTAGACAGCTGGGGAATGCAGCCGTGCGACTTGAACTGCGGCTGCGTGTACACCAGAGAAAGACGGCCTTCTTCGTGTTGCGCAGAGATCAGTTATTTTCAGTATTTGTTTTTCCTGCAGTGAAACCCTATTCAGCTATGCAGCACAGGTCAACTGCTGGTCTGCAGTGGTCCTCTTCTCTGCATGACCATTGGTCCTTCTCTCAGTTGAAACATTGAATACAGGCTACACCGTCTCACTTGCTTTTTTTTTAGAAAATAATTCAATACAAATATCCTCATATTTACAATAAAAAAGAAAGATAGTTCAGTGTACACCCCAAAACCAAAAGAAGCAAAGGAGAGGATCGGCAGTGAAATGCCTCAGGCAGTTGGCTGTCTTCAACGGCAACAGACTAGCAGTAAAACAGAAAACACAAAACATAAAGTTAATCAGAGGCCGTATAATATATGTATATATATATATACTTATATATATATATATATATATATATATATATATA